TAAAAACAAAACCAAAGAACAATTATCCGCCCCTGAAAAAAAAAGAAAAGAAACCCACACAAGGAGAGCAAATGTGTCTTGGTTATTAAGCCGAAGGTCCTCGTTCCAACCCACGGCTCAGGCTGCTGTCTGTGTCGGCCACCCTTTTTCCAGCGGTCTGACTGTGGAGCAGCCCCAGCCCCCAGGGGCAGGGCAACCGGGGCTGTGAAAATAACTGGCCTCTGCCTCTGTTGCTCATTTGATGGTAGGTGGGTTGCGAGATTACCGCGGGAAGTCAAAGTCCCGACGGCCCCCACAGGGACGCTGGTAGCTGACATCTGAAGCGCCATGTGAGAGAGAGCACACGCCGCTGTGTTAGAATGTGGCTCTGAGAGTTACAAATGACGGGGAAAAAGAACCCACCCGAACACAAACCCAAGACAGCAAGTGTGCTCTCCACCCCATTAGCACAAGATGCCTCTGGCAAGAAAGCCCCACAGTGGGCAGCAGTGGCACCAAGCTGCCCTTCCGATGGCCTGCCCAACCCCTCCGGCGGCCCATCCCCTCCGGCAGCTGACCTTGTTCAGGGCAGTGTTTGCCAAGTCAGGGGCCTCATGGGACCTGAACTCGGAAGGGGTGGTTTTCTGCCAAGCAAGGCTGAATTTCAGATACCCAAACTAGGAATGTGCTGTGTGTATCTTTTGAAATGAAAGTCGTAACAACTACAGCACCATAATGGAATGCCAGCCTCCTCCTTCCGGGTCCTCTGGGCCCCAGAAACTTCTTTTCTTGAGCTCCTGGAGCCTTCACTTTGGGGAGATGGAAATCAGGCTGTCTGTACCCCGTATGCCTCTCCTACCAGCCCCTTAATTGGCAGCTGGGCGAAGGTACAGGGAGATACTGCACAGGCTGTTTCCCTGTTCACTTCCTGCTCCTTACCTATGTTTCTTAGAATAAGGAGTGTGGGGGGTGGGGTGGGAGAGAGGGCTGACATCTCCACCTGGTGGGGGCTCAGTCTGGGCTGTGTGCAGCCTGGGGCCAGGCAGAGCATCCCTTTCAAAGGCTGCTGAGTCTCCTACATCCCATCCCAGGTCAGACACACCGGTCAGAAGCAGCTCACTCCAGGGCTGGCTGTGACTGCTGAGATGAGGACTTATATTGATGTTTCCATGGCAACATCTCCCCTCCCCCTTGCGAGTGGCGGCTCGCCCCTGTTCACAATTGAATAATTTTCCATTGAGCTGTCACAATTAATTGGTAGATTTTTATTAGCCTTTTAGAACCACACTGGGCCAGGCCCAGCTTGGCACCTCACAGTATTCCGGTGTTTTCCGTTCTATTGGTGACTTACGTCCCCAGTAGCAGCTCTCAGTCCTCAGCAGCCAGGAAGCCACTTCATTAGGGCTGACAGATCGGAGTCACAAAAGAACGGTGCTGACTAGGGAGCATGGCTGGGATGTGAGGTGAGGAGGGAGGCCAGAACCAAACATCCAACACTGTGGCTGTGGTACACAGCCTTCCCCAGAGCTCACGTTAGGCTCCCGTGGGCCTTGAACATCCTAGGCAGCGGTCACAGGGACAAGACAAAGGCCCCAGAATCTGTGGGACCCATTGCTCTGCCTTCCCCACCATCTCAGGAAGACATAACTGAGGGCGTGTCCTGCAAAGGGACGCTGCTGCTCCCTGCTAGAGACATGATCGACACTGACAGGCTCCCTGGGTCAGTGTCTGTGAAGACAGCCCCGAGACACAGGCGGTTGGGGTTCCACCCAGCTCTCTCACCTGCCAGGGATGCCCGCCCTGCTTCTCTGGGACACTGGCCTGCCTCAACCCCTCCCATGGCTCATTCATACACATAGGAGACAGAGACAGACAGACAGACAGACCACCAGCCGGGACGGAAGGGCGGGCACCCTGGAGCCAGGGCCCTGACCCTTCTCTTCACTCACCAGGTTGTATACTGCCCATGAGACCCAGTGACCTGCACACTCCCTCTGCGGGGAGGTGCTGGCTCAAGCAGGCCCCCGTGCATGGTAGGCAAGCGCTCTACCACTGAGCTGTATCCCAAGCCTGGCAGGCTCTTAATTTAGCAGGATTAGATTAACCATGATGGAGAAGACTGAGATGAAGGGGGAGGCCTTCAAAGGAACGAAGCTGCTGTCATTACCTTTAATCATTAAAAGAACCAACACAGCTATTTTTTTTTCCAGTTTGCTTGTACATTGGAGCTCAATAGCCCTGAAAACCAGAACTCTCAGCCTGCTGAAGCATTGATCTGCTAAACCAACTCGCATATGTGGTGCTAAACTCCCTCTTTAACCCCCTGCCCCCAAGTTTCTCACGCTCTGGCAAGGTCTAGGCCCTCTTCTGTCCTCCCGGGAACGAGGAAATCACTCTTCTACAGACCGGGGAAGGGGAGGCTCTGGGAAACACCACCCCAAGGCAGACTCAGCCCCAGGCTGCTCACCCGCTGGCCTGGCATCTCCAGCTCTCAACCTCTCTGTCTGTAGCTACTCACTGTATTTATTCAAGACACAAGCATGAGACAGGCGTAGCGGTGCGGGCTTGTAATCCCCATCCTCCTGAGGCTAACGCTGGAGGATCAGAAGTTCAAGGCCAGCTTTGGTTTCAGAGCGAGATGGAGGCAACCCTGGACTAATGAGGCCTGGTCTCAGAGAAAAAAAAAAAGAAAAAAAAAAAAAGAAAAAGAAAAAGGCAAATCTTCCCCATGGTGTGCACATCTACAGGTTATTAGCTGCTAAGATGGGTGGAAAATGTCCATCCATATTTTCCTTGTTTGAAATACTAATTAAATGCTTAAGGAAGAAAAAAGAAAGGCCCAGGACAGCTAGATGCCCATCCTCACCTGCTCCAGTACCAAAGATAACACAGAAGACCCACAGACTCCAACCTTGAGTTTCTGGTCACACCGTGCTCATGGTCTGAAGGCCCAAGTCCCAAAGACCCTGGGGCGGGGGATAGAATCCCAGAGGTGTCTCATTGCAGAATTAATATTAGCTAGACCAGGGTCTGGGTCAAGAGACGAAGTGACTAGCAGGGATGAAGGCAGTACTAATGGTGGGGTGTGGCTGGGGGTGCTTGTTTAGTCTGGTCCCTCTTAATATCATCTGTGCAAAACCAGACTTAGAAACGACTTCCCAGGGGGCTGATAGTGCAGTAAGTACAGTGCCTGCCATGTAAGCATCAGGCCCCGAGTTCAAATCCGCAGCATCCATATAAGACCTGGGTGCATGTCTCTAATCCCAGTTCTGCTTGGAGGTGGGCAGAGTGGATGGTAATAATCGAAGTAGATCCCTTGAGCTCATTGGCCAGCTAGCCTAGCTAACTGGTGAGCAATGCGCTTCAGGTTCAATGAGGATGCCTAAAAAATACACTGACAGCAAAGGAAGACATTTAACATTGACATCCGTCCTACACACACACACACACATACACACACACGGGTGGGGAGTTTCCTCAGAACACTGGAATGGGATGGCATTGAGTTAAATCTGGGTCTGTGAGGCTAGGTCAACCAGTTTCCTATTCTAGATCCCAGCCTGCAGGGTGCTTTCAAAGGGCAGAATGTAGCCATCTGTACTTGTCTACCAACTACCTGATCTGGTAGGTACAAGCTGTGTGGCCTTGGCTAAGCTGCTTCACCTCTCTGAGCCTCAGCGACTCTGCACCTCAGCGGATGGCGCCAGAGGACAGCACAAGCCTTCCATGAGTGACATAGCACCTGCCACAAGAGCTCAGGTGGAGACCTGTCTCTGATGCTGCTTCCAGAATATGTGCCTGTTACAAGAGTAGGGACACCCAGTAGCCAGCACCACCTGGCCTCCTCTCCTGGGCCTGACATGTGCAATGGGTCTTTCTGTGCCCCAGAAGACCAATGCAAACAGCACAGCTTATTAACTTCACAGGTGTGGGCAGAAGTCTCTATCATGCCTGCTTTCCTTTTGTGTACATACTCATGTATGCATGCACAGGCACCATGGTGCACACGTGGAGGTCAAAGGACAACTTGCAGCAGTTGGTTTGCTCCGTCCACCATGTGGGTCCCAGGGATTGAACTCAGATATCAGGCTTTGAAGGTGTTTTGCCCGGGCCGCCATCTTGCTGGCCCCTCAGAATGGGCATATGCAGGGGAGCGTTTCTTTGGGCAACCCACAGCTATTAGATTCCAGAGAGCATCTATGACTTAAGAAGGTCAAGAAAGCCAGTCTTAGTTTCAGATGACACGTTAGGACCTTGAGAGATAGGAAGTATTTTATGCCCTGGGCGGAGGTGACGTGTCTCACCTCTGTGGCCTCACATGAAGCACTGAGAAAACAGGCCAGCAGTACTTGCCTGAGACCATGGGAGGACCACAAGCGGTCCATTTCATGCTCAAAGGAGCAAATGCTAGTAATGGTGGCTGTCCCTGGAACCTTCCCCTGTCCCTTTCCGATTCCCTACAGAAAACCTGCAGGAGGGTCAATGTCTAGAAGGGCCGCTGGACAACTCCGAGCCCCTTCCCCCATTTGTAATGTGATGACAGAGGAAGAGAGCTGGCCGTGTGGAGAGTTGGTGAGGGTGGCAGGGCACCACATCCATGGTCCCCGGCAGAGGCTGTACTAAAACATGACCCCCGAGAGCCTGCCGGAGGTTCTGCTTCCCTCAGCTTCCAGTCATCCACTGTCCTCTCAGATGTGACAGCTGGCACCCTGAGCCACACACCTGGGTAGCTGAAGGCAGTGCAGAAGTTGGCTCAGATACGGAGACATGTCGGGGAGGATTCACCCAGCCAGCAAGAACCTATGAGCTTAGGTCTCTCCTACTCCAGGCCTGGCAAAGGATGCTGCCACTGCTGTAAAGCTGGGCATCTGGTAACTATGTGCCGAGGACACAGGGTGGCCAAGACATCCTGTTGGTGGATGGCAGCCAGTATTCTGTTTTATGACAGCCAACTGTGTTGTAACCCTTTGGGACATGAGGGGTAGCAGGGATAAATCAAGGACCAAGCAATCTGTCAAGAGTTCTGTAAACACTTATTTATTTAAAAAATACTACAGAGAGATTTGGATTCAAAAAACAGAGTCATATACAGAAACAAAATGTACTGGACTGAGAAAAAAGGAATGCCATTGGTGTGCCAGAGGGGCACAGCGGCGAATTATTTACATGTCATTGATAAGAAAGCATGTCTATTAAAAAAGTGTAATACCAAAGTATAATGCAAAAAATAGTGGCACATCATGTCAGCAACGACAGACCGGTACCTTGTGAACATGGTGTCAGGGCACGGGGGTGTCTGTTTTCAAGGCTTCTGGCAGTGTGGTACTGCCTCCCCTGGGCTGCAGAACAGCCGTTGGAGGCAAGGAGGTGATGTGCTGAGGACCATGGAAGAACAATCTAGAGGAAGTCATGTCTACCAGAAAATACAACTCGAGTCTAGGTGACTGGTGTGGGACTGGGGCCAGCGCAGAGCAGTGCAGCGCAGAGCAGGAGCAGGGGGTGTGGCCCAGGACAAGCCGAGGGGACCTGCTCTTCAGCTGGCTGCTCGGTGTCACAGTCAAGGAGACACAACCTTGTGTGCTCACCTCTGGCCTGGCTGCTGGGGAAGGAAGACGTGCCCTGGCTAAGCCTGTAAAGTCTTCTCCACCCCAGCCCGTGCTGCAGCGCCTCCCAGGACACTAGGCTAAGCACTGTTCTCGGTAGCTAAGCAGCAGTTCTGAGGAGCAGTCAGGGCTCATGAGAGCCCTGGGCCCGCAGTCCTTCCTGCCTGTGCCGAATGGTTGCTCCTTTCTGTGCAGAGCTTTGAAATGCTCAAAACCACTAGAAAACCAGACCCTCGCCATCAAGACAAGGACCAGAGAGGACCTCAGGAGCATAGGAGGGGAAGACGACTGCTCACAAATTCCAATCTTTGGGCCCCCCTGGAACCCTAATCTTGGCTTGGCCAATGAGCGACTGCCACCCATGAAACTCAATCTTGCTACCCATGATCTGCAGGGCACACTCTGAGGAGAAAAAGAACAGATGACAGACCACACTGCCGCAGCTCCAGCTCCAGTACCCATCCACCTGGGCCCTTGGCTTCAGCACCTCATGACCCTCAAATCAACAGCTTCCTCCACATGAGAGAACAATGAGCACAGGCTCTCTGGGGCAGGTCCTAAGCACAGGGGCTCCCATGCCTTGGTGACCAGGAGCGTCAGAGGAGGATGTTCTCCTGTGTGAACGTGGAAAGGATAGCCCCTGTGAGCACTCCCAGTTGACCTCGGAGCCTGGTGGCCTGGCAGGCTAGTTGCAGTCTTCAGAGCAGGAGGCCCACACATGGGCAGTGAAAAAAAGTGGCTTATGGTACCTGGGCTAGGAGGAAAGAACAGCTGGTGCACAACACAAGTAGAAGGGCCGATTACATCAGGCCCTGGCTCTGCCTGATGCACTGGAAAGCTCCTGGGCCAAGATGCCAGCTCCCCAGTCCTCTGTCCCCCATCCTTGCAGGCACAAAAGCCCCACAGATTACAGCACCTCTGGCTGGCATGCACTGGCTGCTGCTACCTCCGCACGATGTCGCTGATCTCCTTCACAGAGCTAAGCAGCTTGCTGAAGTCCTGTGTGGCAGCTGGGCCACTGGAGGCTGTCGCGGGGCAGATCTGCAGCTCTCGGAGGTTGTTCTCCAGCTTGTTGATGGCCTCACGGAAGGCAAACTTGTTCCTCATCTGTTGGATGGAGTCCACGTAGCTCACACAGAATGTGTACAGGTTCTTGCCAGCCTCCAGCACGGCACTGTGGCTGGCCATCTGCTCGGAGTTCCGGGAGATGGCAAGGCACAGGGCCTCAGTGCTGTCCAGAACCACACCCTTGGTGATGGTGCCACTGGCGATGCGCTCCGGCGGCTGGCGGGTCTTTCGCAGAGACACGCGGGTTGATATGAGTGGGATGAAGGCCGCAGAAGATGGCTGGTCTCCGGGCACGGATGAAGGCGCTGATGCTGTGGCGGGTGTGGGGACCGGGCTGGTGGGGGTCCCTGGAGGCTTACCAGCTGACTGAGGCTTTGGCACGGATGGGGGCACAGGCTTTCTTAGTCCTTCTCCAGGCTGGCCAGCCTTGGTGGGGTCACTGCTCACAGCATCCACAGCCAGACTTGAGCATTTCGTCTTCGCAGTCCCGCCCCCCTCCCCGGGCACTTCTTGGCCGGGGCTCTGGGCAGGCTTTCCGGTCCTCCCTGTGGAGGCAGGTGGAGGTGGCGGAGCGAGCTTCAGCTTCGACAGCCGCCCCTTGTCTCTCCCTGGGGACTCCGAGCTGTGCTTGTGCCTCCTTACTCGGGTCTCCTCAGAGGAGGCCTTGTTTGGACCCACTCTGCTGCTGGGGGGTGTCGGCTCAGCACTGGCAGGAGTCCCCGAGGCACTGCCCTTGGTGGCCTCTTCCTTGTGAGAGAGGCCAGAGGAAGGAGAGGCAGTGACCTGCCGACGGAGGAGTTTGGGAGTCAAGCTGGGAGGGCTGGAGCCTGGGCTGGGTTCCATGTCCTTGAAGACTTCATCAGCAGCCTCCTCGTTCTTCTTCACCAGCCGAGGAGGGGGTGTCACTGTGCCTCTGGCCACCTGCTCAGACCTGGTCTCACTGGCTCGTTTCCGAGGCAGAGCTGGTTTTTCGCTTTTGTGCCCCCCAAAGGTGGATGAGTCAAACTGCTTGCCGGCAGATGGCAGGTCCCGAGGCAGCGTGACTGACCGCCACTCTGTGTCCCTGGCCCCATGGGGCATGCAGGAGGCTGAGCAAGAGCGCAGGAATCGCTTGCTGGAGCTAATGCCACTCTCCTCTTCACTGGCAGCCAGACGGCTGCTGGTCAGTGTGCTGGACTTTTTCCACAGGTTGGGAGAACGAAAGCCCGAGCTGCCTGGCTCCCGGAAGGCTCCATTGGGGACACCAGCCCCATTGCTGGCCTTTGGGGACTTGGTAGGCTCTGCTGCATCTGAGGGGGTGAGAGCTGGTGGCCCATTGCTGATTTCCCGGCCATCATCCTCACTAGCCCCTCTGCGTTCTGGCTGGCCATCCATCTCCCGGAAGGAGCTGCTGCGCTTAGGGGGTGTTGGTGCCATTTTCTTCTTCTTCTTAATCAAGGCACTGAACAAGTTGGTCTTTTTGTCCTTGGGAAGAAGGCGCTCATCTTCATTCAGAGTGCCATCTGGGGGCCCACGCTCTTTCCGAGGAAGCAACGGTGACACAGCAGGCTCACTGTCCAGCACATCTGAAACAGAGAGGAAGCATGAGCAAGAACTCCCTGGAAACACTGTGCTCAAGGCGGGCTGACCCACTCTGTGTGTGGGGTCCTCGCAGAGTTTCTGCACCCCAGCTTCCACATTCACCAGAGCTCGGCTGCATCAGCACCTTATGCCGTGAACACAGTCACTGGTGGCAGAAGCACCGGTCTCGCCCCCCAAACACAGAGGGTCAAGGGCTGAATGAGCCTGCCTTCCTTATCCTGAAACCAGTTAATGACGTGGAAGCCCTTAAACATCACACTCCGGTTAGCAGAAACAACAATGCCAAGGGTCAGACTGGCTGAGGTTCCTGAGGTGTAACCTCAAGAAGAGGTCAGACTTCCATCCCATGGGGACCTGACAATCAGCTGCTGTGACAGACGGGAAAGAGAAGCTGTACAAAACTTCAAGCAGGTATTTTAAAATACGAGTGACGGTTCACAGATGCCCCTGTGTTGTCAGGCCGGTTGTAGGAGGCTTCCCTCAGCTCAGCCTTCTGGACAGAGTCGGAGAGTGCACCTGTCCCAAGACTGCAGAGGACTATCCTACACTTTAGTCCAGCTGAAGAAGGGGGAGAGATTCCACTGGGTCACAGAGCCACATCAAGAACACAGATGTCAGGGACACTTCTGGCTTACCAGGAGATGACCTAGCAAAACACGCCACCCTGCTTGTCACCTGCTTTTCTAAGTAGATGCTCCCATGGCAGCGGTGGGCTCCACTGTCAGTGACTTCATGAAGGAGCTGCTTGGGTGCCACAGCCTCCAAAAGAGTGAGGAAGATGATGCAGTACTTCTACAATTTGGACTGTTTTTTTTTAAAACCATGTACACACATGTGCATGCACATGCCATAACATACATGTAGAGGTCAGAGGGTAATCTTCCAACCTTGCTGTGTACACGAAGCTAGCGGGCCCTTACATTTCTGAGGGTCTTTCTGCAGGAGAGCTGGTGTTACAGATGTGTTCTAGTACATCATGTGCAGACTGGAACTCAGGTCCTCACAGCTGCTCAGCAGGTGCTCTACTACCGAGCCACATCCTCGGTCCTATGTAAACCTTCCAAATACACACCCTTGGCACTTGTGTGTGCTGTGCCTGTGCTGGTTAGTTTTATGTCAATTTGACACAGACTATAGTCATCTGAGAGAAGGGAACTTCAGTTAAGAAAACGCCTCTGGAGACAGAGGCAGGTACATCTTTGTGAGTTTGAGGCCAGCTTAGTCTACAGAGTGAGTTCCAGGACAATCAGGGCTACACAGAGAAACCCTGTTATAAAAAACAAAAAACCCCCAAGACAAAAACAAAACAAAAAGCCAAAACAACTCCTCCCAAAAAGGAAAGAAAATGCTTCCATAAGATTACACAAGTTTGTAGGTCATTTTCTTAATTAGTGATTGATGGGGAAGGGTCCAGCCCATTTTGGGTGGGGTCATTCCAAGGCTCGTGGTACTGGGTTCTATAAGAAAGCAGGTTGAACAAGTCAGTAAGCAGCACCCCTCCATGGCCTCTCATCAGCTTCTGTGTTGGGAGTATTATTTTAAGGTGTCTTACTTTTGTTTATGTTGCATGTTTAGCTCTGTGAAGCTGTGTTACTGTGCCTGTCTAAAACACTTGATGGTCTAATAAAGAGATGAATGACCAATTACGAGGCAGGAGCAAGAACAGGTGGGGCTGGCAGGGAGAGAGAACAAACAGAAGGAGAACTGAGAACGAGGAGAGCAAGGAGCAAGAGAGCAAGGAGCGAGAGACTATGAGGGGCCAGCCATGCAGTCACCCAGTCACGGAGTAAGAAGGGAAGAAAAGTATACAGAAATGGAGAAAGGCAAAAGCCTAGAGTCAAAAGGTAGTCAGGATAATTTAAGAAAAGCTGGCAAGAAACAAGTCAAACTAAGGTCGGGCATTCATAACTAAGAATAAGCCTCCATGTGTTGGGAACTGGGTGGCAGACCCCCTAAAAAAGTCAAAAGAGTAACAACAACATACAACACTCCTACATCCAGGTTCCTGCTCTGTTTGAGCTCCTGACCTGACTTCCTTTGATGATATGGAAGCATAAGCCAAGCAAACCCTTTCTTTCCCAAGTTTCTTTGGCCATGGTGTTTCATCGCAGCAACAGTAACCCTGACTAAGATAATCCTTAAAGTACTTTATGTGTCGTGTGGGTTTGACCATTCAACTTCTCATTAGTATGAGTAGAGGTTTAATAACTGTGGGTTCCGCTGAGTAAATACCCCTTATGAGTCCCTATCAGAACCAAACTTTGTGCTGCATGGTCCCATGCAACCAGTCCCATGACCTATCAGGCCATGCTGGAAGCTCCTGGGAGACTTTATGAGTACCATCCCCCCAAAGCTGACTTTGGTGGGTTTGCTGGTATGCAGGAAGCTCCAGACACGACTGTTACTATCATCCCTGTACATCAGCAGGCACCTTCTGACCCAGCCTCACTGCCCTAGATGAACCTAGGAAGAGTGTAAAAAGACACTCCAGAAACTACAAGGAGCTCCTGGTTGGTATCAGGGAGCTCCACACTGAGTGACTCCCAGGCTACCCTGTTTGACTCAATGTTATTTGTTGCCATGTATGTCCTGAAAGATGCCCACAGCACTGTGAAGAACACATGGAGAGGTGGGTGTGCTTCTTGGCAGGCATCCCAGTTTCTTGCCTGTCTAAGCAACTGCTGAATGGCTCCCCCCAGGGAGAATGGCAGTGCTGGGCAAGAGCCGGATCCTCCTCCCCAGGGCTAGACCACTGATGTAGGTCTGCTGTTCTCTGCCAGCTCCACTGACAACTTCCTGTTTGCCCACTCTGGCTTGAGGAGTGAGAAAGGAATGGACGTACCGCTTTCTCCCAGGCCCTTCGTGTGGAGAAGCTCAGGGGTGTCAGGTGCGTCTTTCTGCTCAGCAGCTCTCCTGCACGTCCTGGTCTTGGTGGGCAGCTCTGGCGCCTGTAGCATGCTGCCAGCAGCTCCTCTCATGCCCCGCTTCCCCAGCTCCTTCTCCACCTCTAAGGATCACACACACAATCCAGCAGTCATCAGCAAAGGATGTCTTGAAACTCTCTTTTTGTTTTTTTTATTTTTTGTATGTGTCTGGGTGTTTTGTCTGCATGTATGTCTGTGCACCGTTTAGGTGCAGAGGCCAGATGAGGGTACCGGATCCCCTCGGACTGGAGTTATGAGCCATCACCATCTGGGTGCTGGGAACTGAGCCTGGACTTGTGGTCACTGAGCTCTCTCTCTTTTTCTTAAGGTCTATTAGAGAAAAGGGACACAGATGCTGAAGAAACAGCACAGCATTTTCTAGAACCCTGTGTGATTGAAAATGACACAGAACCACCACTGAAGCGCTGTGTAGAGCTCTGGTCTCTCACTTGGCCTGGGTACTTTTAAAGGAATGAACTCAAGGCCTGTCTAGCCCCAATTCAACCTTTCACCCATTGCATGCCCCCAAGAGGTACGTTACCATCTGAAATACTGGACTCCTGGAACATGGTTTCAAAGGCCTGGTGGATTTCAGCAAAGGAGGGCCGGTCAGAGGGATTCCACTGCCAACCTGGACAGGAAGACCCACGTCAGAGCAGGAGGAAACACTGCTAACAAGCCAGGACTAGGACTAGCCACCCCAAGGAACAGTCTGGACATGACGAAGGCACTCCAAGCCTGCTAACTGCTGATGTCATGGCAAGTTAAAATACCAAATGCTATCATGTCCTATTATAGATGTGAAGAATTTGGAAAGAGCTAAGCAGTGGTGGCACATGTTTTTATTCCCAGCACTTGGGAGATAGAGGCAGGCGGATCTGAGAGTTGGAAGTCAGCCTGATCTGCAGAGCAAGTTCCAGAACAGCCAGGGCTATACAGAAAAACCCTGTCTCAAAAATCTCAAACAAAATAAAACAAACTAACGTTGCACCAACAGTCCAGTTTTTAGAAATATCAGGGTTAAGTTTAGCAACACAAGGACATTCTCTGCCTTGCTTATAACAAACACAGGACCATCAAGATGGCACTTGCTGCCAAGACTGATAACAAGTTTGATCCCTAGGATCAACATAGTAGAAAAAGAGAAACAACTCCTGCAAGTTGTAAGCTGTGGAATGCACAACCCAATAAATAAATAAATAATAAAGTTAATTAAAGCAAACAAATGTGTAAAACTGCCAAAAGCTCATCATAAGAGGACAGATGAGTGGAAGTTTTAAACTATTTACTGAAATGCTAGCCAGCTGTACGAAAGGTGGGGAACAGGGTAAGGAAAATCTAAATATTAAGGGAAAGGAGCAGTATCTCTGATACACTACTATGAAGAAAAAGGTGAAAGAGTAATCATATGAACACTGATAAGGCCATGTGCAGACACACACCACATGCAGATACATATACTCACATAATATAAACTCCATTAGAGTTACATCATCTGGAGCATTTACAGTATGTGGAAGCAGGACACAAGAATCTATGTATTAATAAGAACCCAGGTTTGATATTTGTCTGACACTTTTTATGTTTAAAAAAATGAAAAGAA